CCTAAAGGAGTTAAAGAAATGGAGAGCCACAGCAGAAGTAGTATAATTTGAAAACTGATGTTTAAAAAAATTAAAAGAAAAAAATCAGTAGGAAGTTAACCCACTAACCTGTTCCATTTTGTCCTTTTTGAAACATCCCCTTTTTACCAATTAAATGACCCCTACTACTGCTAGGACATTGTGTGTTTTTTTTTTTTTTTCACTGAAGGATGATCACTGATACTACAGACTAGTTTTATGGAAAAGCTTAATTCTTGTCACGGTGGCAATGTGAGTGAGTGAGTGGGTGGTCAGTTGCCCACTGACTTTTTCCTTTTATTTTTTTAAATTTTCTGTTTTCTACTTGAAATTGCTCCCCATTTTTCATTAATACAAGCTATCAAAAAAGCAAAAGATTATAATCATTCTAAAAGTTATCTCACTATATAATAATGTAATTTTGTCAATTCAGAATTATCATTGCAAAAATAGCAGATATTGCGTAGCCATTAGAAACATAGAAACATAGAATGTGACAGCAGATAAGAACCATTCGGCCCATCTAGTCTACCCAATTTTCTAAATACTTTCATTAGTCCCTGGTCTTATCTTATAGTTAGGATAGCCTTATGCCTATCCCACGCATGCTTAAACTCCTTTACTGTGTTAACCTCTACCACTTCAGCTGGAAGGCTATGCCATGCATCCACTACCCTCTCAGTAAAGTAATACTTCCTTTACCGTGTTAACCTCTACCACTTAAGCTGGAAGGCTATTCCATGCGTCCACTACCCTCTCAGTAAATTAATACTTCCTGATGTTATTTTTAATCCTTTGCCCTCCTAATTTAAGACTATGTCCTCATGTTGTGGTAGTTTTTCTTCTTTTAAATATAGTCTCCTCCTTTACTGTGTTGATTCCCTTTATGTATTTAATTGTTTCTATTATATCCCCCCGTCTCGTCTTTCCTCCAAGCTATACATGTTAAGATCCTTTAACTTTTCCTGGTAAGTTTTATCCTGCAATCCATGAACCAGTTTAGTAGCCCTTCTCTGAACTCTTTCTAAAGTATCAATAGAAACATAGAAACATAGAATGTGACGGCAGATAAGAACCATTCGGCCCATCTAGTCTGCCCAATTTTCTAAATACTTTCATTAGTCCCTGGCCTTATCTTATAGTTAGGATAGCCTTATGCATATCCCACGCATGCTTAAACTCCTTTACTGTGTTAACCTCTACCACTTCAGCTGGAAGGCTATTCCACTACCCTCTCAGTAAAGTAATACTTCCTGATATTATTTTTAAACCTTTGCCCCTCGGGCGGAGCCGAGCAGCCAACAGGAACAGACGCACGATCAACGAGCTCCTCATCCATAGCTGACAAAAACACGAATTTCGCAAAAATAATGAAACCAAAATCGATCCAACAGGCCCATCAGAACCATGGGACGATAAGCGAAGAAGCAGAGGCCGGACAAGCCTAAACTGGGACCCGATATCGGGGACCTATTCCGCCAGACACAAGACGCACGAGGGGCCAAAATGGCTGCCGACATGGCGGGGTACTCAGACTCCTCGGACGAACTGAGCCTAGATGAGTACACCAGCGGCATGTTCGCCCCACTGACCCAACCACCCGCACCCACAAAGCAACCTGAACTGATCACAACAGACACGCTGAGAACAATGCTGGGTGACTTACAGCGGGTGATCCAGGCAGATGTTGCACAGCTCGGGGCGGAGGTGACAGGCCTGATCGGGCGCATGGGAGTCATAGAGGCCCACACAGACAAGCAGGCCCAAGAAATTGCAGACCTACGTAAAGAGCTACAAACGCTCAAAAAGCACCAAGCAACTACAGACCACCGATTTGCGGCCTTTGAGGATCAAAGACGGCGCAATAACCTCAAGATCCGAGGCGTCCCAGACGAAGTCTTGCCAGAAGAACTCCCACACCTGGTGAGGAGACTCGCGGGAACACTACTGAAGCCGCAACAAGCGAAATCCTTGAGCTTTGAGGCGATATTTAGAATCCCCAAACCGAGGACAGCCCCAGCCACGGCCTCCGGGGACCTGGTGGTGAGATTCCGATCTGGAGCAGACAAAGCGGCCATGCTTAAGGCCCTGCAGGGGAAGACCCCGCTCAACTTCGAAAATGCCAACCTTCTTTTCAGACTTGTCTGGAGATACCATGCAGTGGCGCAGATCCCTTCAACCAGTCACGACACTCCTGAGACAAAATGATATCACCTATCGATGGCGCACGCTAAGGTCCTAAAGGACAATATGATCCACACAGTCCAAGACCTACCGGAAGCTAAACAGCTGCTGACCACACTTGGCCTGCCAGAGAACTCCCTTATGCCGACAGGCCCAGCGGAAGCCAGAAGCAAGAAGCACAACTGGGACCCCGCAAGGACCAAGCCATTTGTCCCACTGAAGGGGCAGCCAGGCAACCCTGCAGAGAGGAATGGGGCACCAAGCGGCACTATACCGCCCTAAAGAGGCGCAGAGACAGCGACCCGCAGCCGCTCCTGCCTATCATCAGACTTTAGTTTCCTTCATACCCAGTTCTTTTTGTTTTTCTTTCCATGGACTTTTATTTTGTACCTGACGGCATCACACTGCTGGTCGCTTGAGAGACCACGAAAAACCAGGACTTTCGCCTACTCAGAGAGAGGAACTCAGGAGGGACTTCGCAGAGCCACACTATAACGCCCTAAGCAGCCCCAGGGCACTCGACCGTCTTGTGACAGTCGCCACCCCACACCCAGAGACTCTCAGTCCTCCATGCAGGACAGCCCGTAAGGACCCCTGGGAGGGACCAATGTCCATGATCGTTATTTGTTTATAATAGCGTTAAGGCCACAAAATGATCTTATCACTGTAAATGCGCATTTACTTAGAATGTTACAGCGCAGGGACCAAACTGACCGCAAAATAGGAACACGAGCTCAACCAGGCCCGATGCATTTTATAGAGCCTTGACCTTTCCATATGACTTAAACACGGGACGCATTCTTACACTCACCCATTCATATACTTATGGCAGGACTAACTTGATATTTAACCCTACCCTGACAGTACAATGGCCTAGCCAAACATGGGTCATCTCACACGACATGAGTCACTCAAACATTTAGAGCAAACTAGCCGCAACAACATGGTTGCCATTAATACTGCACTACTCATACGGCAGCGTAAGCCACACTAACGAAATAGGCGATACACACTTCTATTCTGACAACATAAGCATTTAGCTATCTCTGTTCTCTGAAAAATGTACAGACATACATGCCTTTAAGCCACAGTCTAACCTCTGCTATACATGGAACACCCCACGGCGCCGTATATTCTATTATCTGTATGAATCGGCACGACAAAATTAATGTCACGCTACCAGATCAAACCATACTCTTTGTTTCTTAAAATTTCTCTTGTGTTTCTTATTTCTTTATTATTGCTACAATATTTAAGACCTGACTACCTTACCAAGACGTAACCTGTCTAGTGTTCACTCCCACTTAAACTGAGCCAAAACGAAAAGGCTGACGTAGTCCCTTCTCATTACAGGGTGCGAATGACTTACAGCTTAATCGCACTACTATAGTACTATCCCTCATAGCACAAATCTGCTAAAACACCACTGTTAAAGCATATGTCCACCTATTGTTATTGTTAATATTTTACTCAACTTGTTGATATCACGATGTAAAGTAAGCTCATAACAAAAATGTGTGCATGCTCCTTACATACCACATATCTGTTTTTTTTTGTTTTTTTTTCCATTGGAATTTGCGCTTGTGAGAGCTGATGTGGCTGTACAAGCAATGTTGTAAACCTTTATGCACACCAAAAAATAAAGAATTAAAAAAAAACAAAAAAAAAAACCTTTACCCCTCTAATTTACATGTCCTCTTGTTGCCACACTATAACGCCCTAAGCAGCCCCAGGGCACTCGACTGTTTTAAATACGGTCTCCTCCTTTATTGTGTTGATTCCCTTTATGTATTTAAATGTTTCTATCATATACAGTCGCCAGTACTGCGTACAATACACCAGTGTTCTGTACAGTGGCATGAGCACTTCCCTCTTTCTACTGCTAACACCTCTCCCTATACAACCAAGCATTCTGCTAGCATTTCCTGCTGCTCTATTGCACTGTCTGCCGACATTTTTTTGCATGTCAGCATAGTCATAGACCCTGTTTCTCTGGACTTCACTAATTTTTTTCAGTATCAAAATTTAGCCAAACTGAACAGCTGAGTAAACCAAATTGTAGATTATGCTAACGTAGTGTACCTATAATCTTAATTTTAATAATGACAGGAGGCGCGTATTTTGCATAACTTTCTTTACTTATACCTCCAGCAGCACAAGTCATTGAAGAAACTTTTAAACCAATCAGAAACAAGCATCACATCTATATAAAGCCCTGATAGGCATATCACTTCCTCTTTCTTTGATGCGAAAAACAGTCATGAAAACATCAGAAAACATGACGAAAATCTTGAATAACTCGGATAAGCGAAACTCGGAGCCGATCACGTATTTCCTTCTCCATGGGTTTTCTCAACCAGAAGTGGATGAACTGTGCCAGGTGTCCGCACTCAGACGATCTTGGGTGTTGTATCGTGCAGTGGTCAAACATGGGGGTGCCCAGCATTTCGAGGAAGGCCCCGTCCTCTAGCATATTGGACGATTTGCGAGAACCCCTCTTGTCAAAATGACCATCTCGGGCCATTCCATGGACGTAGTCTATGTCTTCCCGTGGCAAATCCTGCCATTCGTCCTCCACTGATGGAGATTCCTCCGCCTTCCATTCATCCATAATCTCGAGGGAGGGGGGAGGGATGGAGTAATCATCCTCCGAGGATGGGATATGAGGAGGAGAAGGGTCCTGGCGTTCCGCCTGGCGGCTTTGTTTGAGTGGGCCCTGCCCATCAATTTCAGAGGGAGGGAGTTTTCAGGGGCCCTGGCGTCTACGGTAGTTGAAGTGTCAATGCCCGCCATGTCGGGAGAGTTGTGCACCAGCATCTTGGCGATAGCTTTTTTCTACAGAGGCTGCCACCGCCGCATTTATCATTGACTGGAAGTCTGGAGAGGGTGGTTGAGGTGAGTCACTCATTTTGGGAAGTTGAATCTTCCCGTCTGTGGAAGACAGAACAGGTTCAGGTACAGAAGTACAGGTGCTGTTACACAGTGGACCACCATGTACAACTGGGGGTCACTCAGTGTTGTCCATCAATCAGAACCACTTGGTTAAGGTAATGGCAGTAGGTGGTCTGAGGAGGGGGTCACCCTCTATAAGACCGGGATGAGCAGTCAATTGTAAGCGGGTTAGATCCCGTGTAATGTGAGGCGTGGGAAGCCTCTATATTAACCAAGAGGGTCACCCTTGTTATGTCCCTGTTAGTTCTCCCTCCTATATCCCGTAAGGAGGTGAACGGATCATCCCAGTCGTAACATGTTGGTGTCGTATTGCATATAATGGTATGACCTGAGATCTGCGTATGGCAAGGTGTATGGAGCCTTGGTAGGGCATGTGGGGGTCACCCCAGCTGTAAGGATGGTCAACCGTGTAGTATGTTTGCCACTGAAGGGTCTGTGCAAGTCTCACTTGGGGGGTCACCCAATGTAGGGGAGTCACCCCTGTTGTATGCTTGCCACCGAAGGGTCTGTGCAAGTCTCGCTTGGGGGTCACCCAGCATAGGGGGGGTCACCCCTGTTAGTGCAGTGATAGTAACACTGATATATGCCCTTGTTTGAATGGGGGGTCACCCCTAGGTAAGATACACATTTGAAGTGTATAATGTGAATTGGCCAGTGAATCAGATCATAGCCAATACAGGATTCAGGTCTGGCATCAATAGTACACAGTACACCTATGCAGAGTAAATCAACTAATTGCCATATAACAGGTTGATAGTGTGAAAGAAACAGTAGGCCAGATCGTGGAAATCATGATCTGGTTGTAAAAACAAACAAACAGTTGTTGTGAATCTCGCGGGACCGTGAGATCCGAGATTGTTGCCGTTCGTGTGCTAATTTAGCTGGTGCGCGATCGTTGCCTGATATCGGGCCCGCTGGTATGAAAACAGAGCCCCACACTCCCCCCACCCACAGTACCCTATCTGCTAGCCCCAGACTCTGCCAAAATCGGCACGATCGTGGTGAAAAAGCCACGATGGTGATTCAATAAGGAGTGACAGGGAGGCAGAGGGAAGGGTCAGCAGAGTGTGAAAAATGTTAATGACAATTACCAATAAGGAGGGTAGACAGGTGGAGGAGACGGGAATGAAGAATAATAAGAGTAACATAAAAATAAATAATGCAGTACAATCCAACCATATAGGCAATGTTAGTGATCTGGGAACAAAATACTCTGACCTGTGCCTGGCTGGAGCAGCAAAGAAAGAGGAAGTGATATGCCAGTCAGGGCTTTATATAGATGTGATCTTGTTTCTGATTGGTATAAAAGTTTCTTGATTGACTTGTGCTGCTGGAGGCATAAGTGAAGAAAGTTATGCAAGATAGGAAGCCTCCTGTCATGTAATAAAATTCTTTTGACCAGAACTTTTTTTTTACTGATGTGTTTCGAAAGAACCAAAATTTTTCTCCCCCTAAAACAAGACTACTAGGGAATTAGGTGTACTTCTGATTCTGAGTTTACATCATCCACACCGAGTACAAATATACTGGTGGAAACACAACATTTCTAGAGGAAGAACTTAATCAGGGGTAGGTGGAGGCACATTTATTCTCCTTGCCCAGACATGAATGACTTCATTACAATACCTGGCCGGTGCTTCCTATAAGGCTTAACCAGGCAGCCGCCTAGGGCACCATATAGGAGGGGGAGCCCTGCATCCCCATCGACGGTCTTTAAATGCTGCAGCCACCTGAGCACTCTATAGAGAGCCTCAGGTGGCTACAGCACTGCCTCTCTCCTCACCTCCCTTCCCCTGTAGCTGGGTCGAAAGCTCCCTCCGGTCCCATTGGACCGGATTGCACTCTCCTATCAGTCCAACCTGGTACAGGAATCTGATAAACCCTAAAAATTAATGGACCAGAGAGGAGCCCGGGCCGCTTACAGGAAAGGGAAGGTGAGGAGAAACAGGGAGGGACGGGAGTAAGAAGAACTGGGAGGGGGTAGTAAGAAGAAGCAGGGGAGTAAGAAGAAACAGGGGGAGTAAGAAGAAAAGGAGGGGGAGAAGAAGGAGAGGAGGGGGAGAGAAAAAGGGGAGTAAGACTCAAAAGGCACAATAAGAAGAGGGGAGGGGGAGTAGCAAGAGGGGGGGAGTAAGGAGAAGAGGGAAGGGGAATAGAAGAATAGGGGAGGGGGGAAGTAAAAAGAAAAGGGGGAGTAAGAAGAAAACAGAGGAGGGAGGAGTAAGAAGAAAGGTGGGAAGTAAGAAGAAGAGGGGGGAGGAGTCAGAAGAAGAGGGGGGGGGATGGGGAGTAAGAAGAAGAGGGGAGTAAGAAGAAAACAGGGAAGGGGGAGTAAGAAGAAGAAGGGAGGGGGGAGTAAGAAGAAGAGGGGAAGGGGGAGTAAGAAGAAACAGGGGAGTAAGAAGAACACAGGGGGTGGAGGAGAAGGAGATGAAGAACACAGGAGGGGGAGGTGAGAAGAACACGGAGGGGGGAGTGAGAGAAGAACATGGGGGGTGAGGAGAACACGGGGAGGAGAAGAACACAGGGAGAGGGGGTGAGGAGAAGGGGAGGTGAGAACACAGGGAGGGTAGAGGCAGAGAAGAACACAGGGAGGTAGGGTGGGTGTGAGAAAAACACAGGGAGGGTAGGTGGGTGTGAGAAGAGACCGCTAGGGGAGGGTGGGGGGAGAGGAGAGACCACTAAGGGGCAGGGGAGAGCTCTAAGGGACAGAAGGGAGAGCTCTACAGGACAGGGGGCAGGACAGGGAGCTTTTTCACACTACGCGTACAAACACAATGCATCCCTATACATACACAGAAACAATGCATCCCTACACACACAGAAACACAACATGCTTCCCTTACACACAGAGAAACACACAATGCATCCATTACACACACACAATTCAACCCTTACACACAAAGACAATGCATCCTTTGCACACATACACGGAAACACACAATGCATCCCTTACACACACACATGCAAACACACACACTGCTTCTCTTACATACACACAGAAACACAATGCATTTCTTGCACACACTCAATGCACATACTTACAGACAAACACCTTGCATCTCTTATGCATACAAACACAGATTCACATAATGCATCCCTTACATACAACCAGAAACACACAATATATCCCTTATACACAAACACACACTGCTTCCACTACACACAAACACACTGCATCACCTACACAAACTGGTATCCCAGGTATACACTACATTCCATAAGCACACACATTAGATCCTCTACAATAACACATAACACATCTCCTACACACTCCACTCGCTGTGAGCAAATTCATGGGTGGGTGGAACATATTAGTGGACTTATAGGTGGGCCTTATGGGCATACTCACCGTCGGGCCCAGACCTTGAGCTGTGTAAGGGGCCCCCAAAAATGGAGCTGCTTCCTGTTCTCCCAGAACATTGAATTTTGTGACCACAGTTACAAACAGCTTTCAGAGAAGCCAGTGGAGCCAAACTGCAGCCAGAGCCCATCACCATCCTCATCTGGTTGTAACTAGGCAATCTAGTATATTATTAGTGGCACTAATCTCTAATTTACCTCACATTAAAGGGACACTATAGTACCCAGAACCACTGCAGCTTAATGAAGTGGTTCTGGTGTCTATAGCCGGTCCCTGCAGATCATATGGGTGGGGCATTGTGATGTCACATGGGTGGGTAGGTGGCAAATTTTTATTTTGCCTAGGGCGGCAAAAATGTTTGCACCGGCCCTGTACAATACAAAGAACATGGTACATTATGGAAAGGGTTTGTCTCTGCTACCAATATGGCCTGTAAGTAGGGCTTGTAAGAGTAGGATAATTTCACAATGTAAACAAATACTGTTTATAAAATCATTGAATGTATTAATTCGATCCATGAAATGTACAGCTACTCAAGTCTAAATCAGAATCATGATATTAATCAGAAACCAATAATGACAAAAATAATCTGCTAACCAAAACAAGTAAGCTTTTACACTCATCTATTGTAGGTTGCATAGCCTGTCCAAAGAAGCATCTGATTTATGAATAATGACCATGACGGCTGTCACAAAACTCTTAGCTCCCAGGGACGTGAGTTGCTTCAGTGGGTGAAAGGATTAAATAAATCACTATATGTTTGCTCTAGGCTTAAAATAATAATGAAATCCCCCTTAATACTACCCAAACCTATAAAAGCTGCCACCAACATGGCAATTTATAAATGGGGCACCCTGGGTTACCCCATCAAATCAAATTTAAAAAAACTATAGAACACAGTTTAACAGTATTACCATCTAAGTCAGTGGCGTACATACCAGGGTCGCAGGGGTCGCGGCTGCGACCGGGCCCGGCCCACCAGGGGGCCCGGCCGCCCCTGCGACCCGGTATGTACCCACAGGGCCAGCCTCTTCTCCTGGGGGGCCCAGGAGCCGACCACCCCAGGGCCCCCCGAGGCTGGCCCTGCTGACCCGGGCGGACGGGCTGGCTGTTTCGGTGGCCGGCGCGCGAGGGAGCACTCAGTGATACCAGCTGATACCGGAGCCGGAAGATGACGTCATCTTCCGGCACCGGCATCCCTATGCGGCGCGCGAGGGAGCTGAAGAGGAAGCACTGAGTGCTCCCTCGCGCACCGGCCACCGAGACAGCCAGCCCCAGGAGCCCTGCAGCACCACTGGACCCCAGGGAATCCCCCCAGCACTCCAAAAGGTAAGGAGACTGGGGGGATTAAATAAAAAAAAATGTCTGTGTGTTAGTGTATGTATTTGTGTATGTGTGTATGTGTGTGTGTGTGTGTGTGTGTGTGTGTGTTAGTGAATGTATGTGTGTATGTGTGTGTTAGTGTATGTGTGTGTTAGTGTATGTGTGTGTTTGTGTGTGTGTTAGTGTATGTGTGTGTGTTAGTGTATGTGTGTGTCTGTTATTGGGTGTGTGTCTGCTAGTGAGTGTGTTACTGTGTGTGTCTGTTACTGAGTGTGTTTGATGTCTGTTAGTGAGTGTGTGTTTGTCAGTGAAAGTGTATGTTTTGTAAGTGAGTGTGTGTATGTCTGTCGCTGAGTGTGTCTCTGTCAGTAAATGTGTGTGTCTGTTAACTAGTGTGTATG